AGCTCTATTGCCTTTATTTCAACATATATCCAAAGATAAGAGAAAAGCGAAATGAGTTGTATTGGTGAATGAAAAAGGTACAACAGACTTGGGCTGAGTAGTCAAAAAGAGTAGAAGTAAACAGAAAATAGAAGTAATACATTGGAAAAGAGAGAAAGAAAATATAGACATGTACGACAAATGTCAAGGCTGTAGCCTATCTAATACGCAGAAGCCCAATGAATGCAAGATAGGTGTAAACCTAAAGAATAAGCAAAGAGCGCTAAAAAAAAACTGCATTAAAAAACAGAGAGAAAACAAAATCCTATACGAGGTGCCACTAGCAAATTTTAGCAGAAGAATCAACGTATAAACAGATATACCTATCTCATTGCCAAGCCCTATTGTATTGATTAAAAACTTAGAAGAAGATCTAATTGACAGATATATAGTAGAGCAGATGTATAGGGAGAAAACTCAGAAGTCACTACAAAAACTGGTTGGCTATACAGAATTAAACATCTTCACAGATGGCTCTTTAGATGGAGATAGTGGAAGTGGAGAGCCAAGAATAATGTGTATAGGTTGGGTCGCAGCCAAAAAGGACACAGAAACAGTCCTAGAGTATTTCTCAGGTGTGATAAAAGATTGGCCTTCTTCAACGAGAGCAGAAATAGGTGCTATAGGGCTTGCATTACTAGCAGTACTGAATAAATGCAGGGTATAGATTTTTACAGATAGTGCAAATGCAATCAGTATTATTGAAAAGGTTAGAGCTAGCCCAAATGATACAAAAACAACTAAGCTCAAAAACGAGAGCATCATTGTAATGGTGATGAATTTAGTTGAGATAAAAGGTATTGATATTAACTTCGTAAAGGTGAAAGGGCATAGTGGGATTAAATTAAATGAAGCAGCTAATAAGCTAGCAAAAGAAGGAAATAGCTATAAAGAGTGTTGTAGTTTTAGAGTAAAATGGTCCAAAATAGTGAAGGTTTTACCAAGGTGGGATGGGCATATTGTTGATATACCTATTAGAGAAATGATAGATAATATAACAAAAATGTATTATAGTATAGGTTGGATAAATAGCAAATGTATAGATAGTTTAATTAGAAGTAATACAGAAGAAAAATAGTTAGACTGGAGGGAAATATGGGAAAAAAGGTAGGATATAGATGCAGAAGCTTAAAGGATAGTCACAGTTGGGTTTTTAAGATAAAGTGTATAAACAGGTTGCTGCCAACAATGAAGGTGCTTTATAGAAGAAATCCAAACCTCTACCTATTTGATTTTTGCATCGCATGCTTCCAAGAAAAAGAAGATTTAGATCACTTAGCTACATGCAAAATATATGAGAAATTGTAGAACAGAATAGAGAGTGAAGCATTTGAGAAAGCTATAAAGAAAAAGCTAAAGAATGAACAGAAAGAAAGCGAAAGAAAGATACGTAGCATTACAAAAGAAGAAATAATTGGAGATTCTCAAGAGGCTATATACATAAACAGAGTTAACTGTATCAGAGGAATCTTCTGGGAGCTTAGAAATAAAAACAGACTACTAAGAGAGCTCCGAATGATTTACAGCCACATGCTACGAAAACGCTTTCAATAAGTGATCTGAAAACTAAGATGTGAAGCTATAAATGAATTCAAGCAGGGCAGAGGCATTACAAACTCACAAAAAAAAAAGCAAGACAAGAGAAGTAATCCAACATACAAGAAAACCAAGAAGAGAAAAACCCAAGAGGCAAGATCTAAAAGAATTTCAGCAGAAGAAGCAGATCGAAAATTGTGAGAGGAAACAAAAAAAGAAGTTAGGAAGATAATTACTACTAACGTCAAACTGAAGTGGTTGGGGCTATATAGACCACACTGTTACAAAACTTAAATGCAGTCCTAACAAGGCTAGCAACTACTGTCCAAGGATCCAATAGGTAATATTTCAGCAAGTTGAAAGCCAGAAGGGAGGAAAAGAGTTGCTGCAGCAGATTGCATCTGGGCATCTCCGAGCAGCCGGGTAAGCTTTTATTGAAGAGAAGGAAAGGTTGTTGGCATTAGCTAGAAACTTATGTATTTAGATTATGCATTCCTTATACAATAAAGGCAGGATTGCCAAAAAAAATAATAATAATAATAATAAATAAATAAAAATAGTTAAATAATTTAAAGATTATATTATCTTTTTTTTTTAGCTAATTAAATTGAAAATTAGTATTATACTATATAACTAGCAAATAAATTTTAAAATATGTTATAATATAAAATTAATGCTCTTATTCTTCTTTTTAATGTAAATATAATTTAATTTTAGCTGTATTATTTTTTTTCTCTCTCTTGTATAAATTTTACTATACTTTATAATATATATGTATATTTTTTACAATAGATTTTATAAGCTTTATTATAAACTTCTTTATACAAAATTATATATTTATATACTATAGTCATTCTTCTTTATAATTATGCTATTTGTTTTATATAAAAAATATAACTATAAAATTTTAATAGTAATATGATTATATAAAGTTTTTTGTTTAAATTTTAATAAAAATTTAATATTAATAAATATATTTTGTTTTTTATTAATATTAGTATAAACAGTTTGCTATAGATACCATATATTGCCGAAAATAAGCCATCTCTAAAAATAAGCTACCCTCTTTTTTCTTGGAGAAGAAACATAAGAAAATTTGTTATTCTAAAAATAAGCTACTGAACAACTCCTATTAAGTAACTTTTATCGATTTACTTAATAGAATTTTGACTTTTATATATAGAAACTACTTTCAGATTTTAAAGAAATAATAAAAATCAACCTTTTCAAAACTTTACCGAAAATAAGCTACTCCTATAATTTTTGTATTACTTTTTTGGCCAAAAAAGGTAGTTTATTTTTGGAAATCTATAGTGGAGTTTTTTTTTACAAATTAACAAAAGTCTGACTAGTATAATAAAAGTTAAAAGATCCTAATTCATTATCAAAATTTCTCTTTGTAAATTTAGATGATTCTTAAAATAATTAATTATAATATAATTTTAGCAAGTTTTTCTAAAAAAGCATTGTTATATTACTTTTTACAAAATTATAAGATAACTAGTTAGATATATATATTCTAATTTATATAATCCAAATCTAAATAATAGAATAACTTGCAAATAAATTGATATTTTTAAATAATTAAAATTTTCATCAGGCTTTTTATTTATAAAAATAATCTATAAAAGCTTAATTATTTTATTATATTTAAAAATTGTATCAAAATTTTAACTATCTATAAAATAGTAATAATAAAAAAAAATTATCTATTTTTTTACAATTTAAAACAGATAATAATTAAAATCTTAATAGTTAAATCTACTAGTATTAAGTTCATAATCATTATTTGTATTAATTATAATTAACTATAGATCTTCTTTAGTATAGCTAGACAATATAAAAATATTATAAAATTATAATATAAAAAAACTCTAACTCTAATTCTAATTTAACTTTAATATAAACTATATATTATAATTATATAATAATTCTATATTGTCTAGGGAGTACATAATGGGTGCCTAGTTAGGAAGGTTGGTGCTTGAGAAACGTCTGTAGAACGGCAGCACCCCAAAAGGTGGCATGAGATATGAATACGAAATGGCAGGTCAATATATACTAATTAGAAAGAAGTTATAGGAACAAGCACGTGAATATATATGTGGGACATATACTGCTGTATTAGGTTTACCTCGAGGATAGTTAAGTGTCCTAAGGTAGGGTGCGAAATCCACATTGGGTGATACCAAAACCTAGCGTATGAATAGTGAGGAAACCCATAGGGTTAGAGGGCTGATGGAGGTAGTTAAAACCAGATAGTTTAAATGGGTACCCCCCTAGTTGGGGTGCAGGTACGGCAGATAGTGTAGAACCTTCGGGAGAACTACTTAAATAGGCACTCAAAAGGTGCATGTGTGGCTTGATGTACCGTCATTGTAATTACATATAAAACTTCGTCTATACTCTAATAAAAAGTTCCCCAGACCAAAGAGGTCACCTTAATACCGAAAAAAAAAAAAAAAAAAAATTAAATTAATGTTTTTTATTTAATTTAAAATTATTGCATTATTTTTTTTTTTACATATCTTTTTATTTTTTAATTTTTTTAATAATAACTTGAGTATTTTTTCTGTTCATAGTTCACGTTACTTTCACCACTTGGCAGAGTTCAAACTCCACTTCAGCAGAGGTTGAACTCTGCCAATTTCACAAAAATGCGAAATGGCAAAAGTCATGTGATGCCGCCACTAAGGCGGACTTTAAAAATCTCTGATTTACAGAGTTACTTATGATACGCTAGTCTCTGTCACAAAAAAAGTAACAGGCCCCATGAAATATCCTGCTAACACAGGGGTATTTCATGGGGCCCATTATGTTTTTTGTGACAGAGATTAGCATATTATAAGTAGGAAGATTTAAATCTATCTATTATTATTTGTAATGAAATACAAATAAATTTTGAGAATTATACATATAATTTTTGTAGATATATTTTTAATGAACTTGTATTGTAAGTATATCTAAACAATAATTTTAATTAAATATATTAAATTTGTATATTTAAAAAAACTAGTTATAATAATAATATAGAGATTAAATAAGAAAAACCTATTTAAAATTTTCAAATTTTTTATGTTTAAATCTCTAAAATTAACCAATAGAGTAATATATAATAGAAAGAGTTTAAGCCTTTTATTTTTTGGTTAATTAAATATCTAACTAAATTAGTATTATGAGGAGTATTTTATACATGTTGGGTTAATTATGCATGAACCTGATTTATGCTAAAGAATTTTTGTTATTTGAATTCAGAACAGTTATATGTAAGTCTAAACATGTAATTAAGTATTTCTGTATTCACTACTTAGTATATAACTTTAATTCTTATGACTATAATTAAATATTTTATTTTTGTACACTATATAATCTAAATTTAATATCAGATTAAATATTACAGAATTAAATTATATAATTATATATCGCTATAACAATAAGTTAATAATAACTGATATTAGAACTGATAGTCCTTTCGGTCTGTTCTGAAAAAAATAGAACTAGTGGTCTATTAGTTTAAGTCAGACTACTTACAGTTCTAGTTAAAAACAATGTTTTTTCTTATCAAGTTAAATTATTTAAATTATTGTTTTTTTTTAAATAAACAGGCTTTTTATTTTATTTTTTTTTTTAAATAATCATTTTTATTTTTTTTAAATTATTTTTTTTTAGTTATTTTTTTTTACACTAATCAGTATATAAAGATAAGTGTTTATACTTATTGTTATATATACTTTTTTTTTATAGGGCTAGATATTTTGCTATTATTTGTTTGAAGTCGCCATTTGCTGAACTTGCCTTCACTTGAGTTATCATTGCTAGAGTCATTGTTCGCTAAAGTCAGAATCATCATTTGTTGATATTGCTGTTGTATGTAGGCCTCAATTTCATTAAACATGTGTTGGACAACAGAAAATTTACTTTTCCACTTACATATTAATACCTTTTAGATTATTCTACATCGTTTTAAGACTAATTTCACTTTTGCCACTTTGCATTTCTGCAAATTAGCAGAGTTTCAAACTCTATTTCAGCAGAGTTTGAATTTTGCCAATTTTACAGGAATGTGAAATGGCAAAAGACACATGATGCTGCCACTAAGACAGACTTTAAAAATCTCTGATTGATAGAGTTACTTATGATGTACTATTCTCTGTCACTATTTGAAAAAATAACACGCCCTATGAAATACTTCTGCTAACACAGGGATATTTTATAGAGCGCATTACTTTTTCAAATAGTGACAAAGATTAGTGTATTATAAGTAGAAAAATAAGAGCTACTTTTTCTTCTATACTTGTTGTGCTATCTTTAATTTTTATACCTATTTCATTCTCATTTAAGTTCATCTCTGCTAGTCTAATTCTAACAGTTTCCTCTTCTTTGTTTTGAGCTTCTGGCTTTTTTATATTATTACTCAACTCTTTTTCTTTTTAAATTTTCCAATTTTTGTGAGACTTTATTCTCTATCATGTTGATATTCATTTTTAGGAATTAATTTGATCAATATGTGCTTGTACTACTCTTTCTATTTTTGTACATGTCGATATTTCTATTACTTCTCCCAAAGAATACGAGTTCTTCTGTTAAAAGTAATTTACCTTTGTTTTTCTGTGATTGTAACCAACAATAATAGTCTATTGCACTTCTAATTGTTACAATAAATTCTAGGTCTTGAAACCAAGATGCTTTGCTATGTTAATGTCTTCTTTGAGCATGATTCTTCTTTAATTAGTATAACTTTCTTTTACTCTTTTTTGTAAGGCTGTCACTAAGTCTTTAACTAATTTTATCTTCATCACTATACTACTCATTTGCTTCTGCAAATTGAAGTAAATTTATTTAAATATTCTCAAATATTGGAGCTATATGTTATGTGATATGTTTGTTTCTTGTTTTTTTGTTAATTTATAATTTAAGTACTATTTAAAGCTATAAGTTCTAATTTGTTTATTTGTTAGTTTCTAAATAGGATTGTTTGTTTTGTTGTGTTGTATTAGCAATCTGCAGACAGGGGTATGAGCAAATCTCCAAAGTTATGTAAAATTTTTAAAATTTATATTGAAAAGATAAATTTTTTGTATATTGTTAGACTAAGGCAGCTTAAAGCAAACTGTTTTAATAAAGTCAAGTTATTTTTCTTGCTTGATCTTTTTTTTTAAAGCTAATACTGTTATCTTATTGTGTTTGTGTTGAAATTTTGAATTTTTTTTAGCTCTAGTTTTGAATGGAGTAATCAATAAAAAGAGTTAAGTACTTTAAATGGTTATATATATTTCTATAAATGTATATATATAATTTTAACTAATAAAAAATTATTTTTATTTATATTTGAAATCACTATAATAATAATAATAGTTTTAAATTTTAATAGTAAATAACTTTTGATACACTGGTCTGTTTTAGATAATTTTAGTGAGCCCAAAATTACTAAAATTTAATTATAGAGCCTCTGAGATTATTAAGGTTTTCTTGTATGTATTTAAATTAATTTATTTAATTTAAAATAGACTTTTATAATTTATTGTATATATGTTGTGATATATATTATAAGATCTTGTATAATATAAAATCAAAACAATAAATTAATTTGTTAGTTTAGAGTTAGAATAAGAATTAGATTAGAGTAGATTAGGGTTAGAGTTAGAGTTCAGAGCATGGATAAAAAATAAGACATGCCCTATATGACTATAGGCATGCCCCTATTTATTATAAACAAAAAATTTATAATATAAACATTAAATTATAATTAATATTTCTAATATTGCTTATGTAATATATTTAGTTATAAAAAATAGAAATATGCAGTATAGTACAATATTTATGAAGTAGAAAAGACTTTGATTTTTCTTAATCTATTAATATCTTTTTCTTTTTTCTTATTTTGTTCAAACTTTTAATAATTTAAAATTACATAATAGTTTCAATATACTACTACTGTAAAAGTATATATGAAGATATACTATTTGATAAAATTTTTAAGATTCTTAAAACTTGTAACCAATTACTTAACTAGTCTATTGAATTCTATCTTTGTTTAAATTAAATATTCAAAAAAATCAGTATTACTAACTATTACTATAAAAAAAATATAGGTAATAAATATAAATCAAAATATAGATTAAACTATATATTTTTTAAATATAAAAAATTATAAACATGTAAAATGATTAAAAAAAATTTATGGATATCAATATGTATAAATAGTTGGCATATTTAAAACAATAAAATTAAAAGTTGAATGCTTGTTAATAAATTACAAAATACTTTTTTACTTTGATACATTTTAAATTTAGAAGTTATATATAGCAACTACTATAAAATACTAGTATTAGAATTTTATTATTTTATAACATTTATTTAGTTTAAATGCTAGTTCTTCTTATCAATTATTATTTATAAACATGGCCATAGGCATGCCCATGGGCATGCCATATTAGGGCATGCATTTTAGCTTATGGGCATGCTTACATATACCTATAGGCATACCTATAGGGCATGCTCTAGTAGGTATGCCTATCTTTGCTGTACTCTGAACCCTAGTTAGAGTAGAGCACTTTAGCAAAAAGGTTCTAACATAAAATTTTGCAAGAAATTTTTTGTTAAAATACAAAAAGTAGTTTTATAAATAAAATTTTTATCTGATTGGTTGATCAGATGGATGTATTATAGTGCAGGTGTGCTAAATTATAATAGCTTTTAAAATATATAAAAAATAATACAAAATCTTAATAGTCTCAAGATTTAGTAATTTGCTTTAGTAATTTTAGGCTCATTGAATTTGTTTCATTAAGGTGAACATTTTGGTGAGTGTTTTATTCAAAACAGATCAAAATTTATTTACTCCTAAAGATTATAAAATATGTATATTTATACTCTCTAAGTGCAAACCTATATCTAATTTTCTAATACATATATTTAGAGCTAGTTTAATTAGGCTTACTTAATATTCCCATTGGCTCATTAAGGCTTATTTAGTTTTTATACTATATAATATATAAAAATATTATTTATTTGTATAA